GAAAAGGTTGGATAATATCGTTGATGAGTTTTGGCCTGAAATATCTGAATCTATCGAAAAGATTGAAATCTTGCACGAAGACAAAGTATTCTCTCAGCACCAGCTGGCAGCTTTGGTGGCAAGTAAGGTATATTATCATTTGGGAGCGTTTGAAGATTCGTTGACGTATGCGCTGGGCGCTGGTGATTTGTTCGATGTGAATGCAAGAAATGAATATGTCGACACAACTATTGCTAAGGCGATCGACTTCTATACTTATAAGAGGAAGGCTCTGTTCGTCGACAGCGATGCAGGAGCGATAGACCCCAGGTTAGAAGCTATCGTGAACCGAATGTTCCAACGATGCCTTGATGATGGCCAGTACAGGCAGGCACTAGGATTGGCACTGGAAACCCGCCGCATGGACATATTCGAGGAATCTATTATGAAATCTGATGATGTTGCTGGTGAGTTACTTTTATAAACATTGTTCATCAAAATGCCTTTGTTTACTGTAAAATACACTTAACAATGCCTATTCACTTTTATAAAGTTGTTACTGGTTAATATTGTTCACTAATCTGTTCTGTAAAAGTTCATGAGTCATTGGAGGTCCATTGCAGTAGCTAATAGAAATATTTATATGTTTATTTGAATATTATTTTATAATCAAACTTATTTATATTTATATTATTAAAATGCACAAATACTTAAAAATATATAACCTTTTCAAAAGAAACAATTAAGAAATTTTAAGGTATTATTAATGGAATAGGTTTAGTCAACCACTATAAATATAATATCATAATATACATAATATATTATTCCCCTGTTAATTATCTCTATTTTGAATTCCAGGTATGCTTCAGTATGCATTCACAGTTGCTATGAGCCTTTTACAGAACAGAGGTTTCCGTAGCACTGTCCTCAGGTCCTTGGTAGGTCTCTACAGAGGTCTCAACATCCCAGACTATGTCAACATGTGCCAGTGCCTCATTTTCTTGGAAGATCCTCTCTCAGTTGCAGAAATCCTTGACAAACTAAGCCATGGACCTCAAGAATCTGTCCTCATGGCATATCAAATTGCCTTTGACTTATATGACTCAGCAACACAACAGTTCCTAGGCAGAGTACTACAGGCTCTAAGAACTACAGCACCCATCCCAAGTGCCCTTGGTGGCAAACCCCAACCTCAAGGAGGACCATTCCCTGAAGCAAGCATGGAGGTTGATCAACCAGCTGAAGAAGCTAAGAAACCAGAGAGAGATATAGAAAGTCTGAATGATGAAGAAAAAGAACATCAGAAACGGGTAGAAAAATTAATTTCAATTCTAGGAGGTGAAGTATCTATAGGGTTACAACTACAATTCCTAATTAGGTCTAATCATGCCGACATGCTCATCTTGAAAAATACAAAAGATGCAATTAGGGTGTCTATCTGTCACACTGCTACTGTTATAGCCAATGCCTTCATGCATTCAGGAACTACCAGTGACCAATTCTTGAGGGATAACTTGGAATGGCTTGCAAGAGCCACAAATTGGGCTAAACTGACAGTAACAGCCTCCCTTGGAGTTATTCATAGGGGTCATGAGAATGAGTCCCTAGCTCTCATGCAATCATATTTGCCAAAAGAAGCCGGGCCATCATCAGGTTACTCTGAAGGAGGTGGCCTTTATGCCTTAGGTTTGATTCACGCCAACCATGGTGCTAATATCATTGACTATCTTTTAACTCAACTAAAAGATGCTCAGAATGAGATGGTGCGACATGGAGGTTGTCTTGGTCTTGGTCTGGCTGCTATGGGTACACACAGGCAGGATGTCTACGAACAACTCAAGTTTAATTTGTATCAAGATGATGCAGTCACAGGTGAAGCAGCTGGTATAGCCATGGGAATGGTTATGTTGGGTTCCAGGCATGCTGCAGCCATTGAAGATATGGTTGCCTATGCTCAAGAAACTCAGCACGAGAAAATTTTGAGGGGATTGGCTGTTGGTATAGCCTTCACGATGTATGGCCGCCTTGAGGAGGCTGATGCCCTTGTTCAACAACTGTTAAGGGACAAAGATCCCCTTCTGCGTCGCGCTGGTTGTTACACTATCGCTACTGCTTACTGCGGCACTGGAAACAATGACTCCATCCGTACACTCCTTCACGTAGCTGTTTCAGACGTAAATGATGACGTACGTCGCGCTGCCGTCACGGCTCTCGGTTTCCTTCTGTTCAGAACGCCTGAGCAGTGCCCATCAGTTGTATCTCTGTTAGCTGAATCATACAACCCTCATGTTCGTTATGGCGCTGCCATGGCGTTGGGTATCGCTTGTGCCGGAACCGGCAATCGCGAGGCCATTGGCCTTTTGGAACCCATGGTCAAGTTTGATCCCGTGAACTTTGTAAGGCAGGGTGCCTTAATTGCTTCTGCCATGATTCTTATTCAACAAACTGAAGCTTTATGTCCAAAAGTCACATATTTCCGTCAACTCTACGCACAAGTAATCTCTAACAAACACGAAGATGTGATGGCTAAATTCGGAGCAATCTTGGCTCAAGGTATAATCGATGCTGGTGGCCGCAATGTAACCGTATCTTTGCAAAACAGAACTGGTCATATGAACATGCTTGCTGTGGTCGGCATGTTAGTCTTCACCCAGTATTGGTACTGGTTCCCTCTGGCTCACTGTCTATCTTTAGCTTTCACCCCAACTTGTCTCATTGCCCTCAATTCTGATTTGAAGATGCCGCAGATGGACTTCAAATCGAACTCGAAACCTTCTCTCTATGCTTACCCGGCGCCTCTCGAAGAAAAGAAACGGGAAGAAAGAGAGAGAGTTACTACTGCTGTGTTGAGTATTGCTGCAGCAAAGGCTCGCAGGCGAGCACATGGAACTGAAGGGTCGGCAAGCAGTATGACTTCTTCCTCAACTTCTAAAATGGATGTTGATGAAGAAGAGAAGAAGCCATCAAAGTCACCAAATCCTAACATAACAGTCCATGGAAAGTCGGAAAAAGATGCTGCTACTGCTGGCTCTTCCAAGGAAGTCAAGAAGGAAGAGAAAGAAGGTGAAGAAAAAGAAACAAAGGAAAAGAAAGAGCCAGAGCCAACCTTTGAAATCTTGAACAACCCTGCGAGAGTAATGAGGCAGCAATTAAAGAACCTAACTCCTGTAGAGGGTACAGGGTTTACCCCATTGAAAGATGTTACTATTGGTGGTATTGTCATGTTAAACCATTCTGGCGATGGAGAACAGGTTCTAGTCGAGCCTGTAGCCGCGTTTGGCCCAAAGACAGAGGAAGAAAAGGAACCAGAGCCCCCAGAACCATTCGAGTACTTGGATGATTGATATTGTCTCTTCAGCTAATTCATCAATTCATCTTTTGATGATAATCCATAGTAATAGGACGATAATTAAACATTTCAATATATTGAACAAGTTATGATCTAGAATAAAATGTTGAAGTACATGATTACTACTAACAGGAAATTATTATTGTGTTTCACGAATAAATAATTGTACCTAATGAAATAATTAGTCTTTTAATTATATTAATTATTTTTATCTAAAAAAACTCGAATAAAAGATGTCTCTACTCAGCATTAAACAAAGTCGCATTTTCTGTCCCTAGTTATATGCTTAAAACTTTAAAACAAAGTAACCGATTTTGATGTGGTTTAAGTAATAGATTGATTGAAGACGAAGATAATATAATGTACGTATAAACAATCTGTCCCTGCTTCGTTTATATACGCACAATTTGGTTTGGTTACGTTAGAGAAAAATTGAAGATTCATAATGATGAATCTCGGAATGAATCATAAAATTATACCTACATTCGGATCGAGCAAGAGGGTATTCTTCGGTTCGATCGCCACATCAGAAAGTTTTTATGACAAATAGCACATTTTTTTTTGTAATTAGGTCGGCAACGAGCAGACTGATTACCTGATGGCTAGGGAGGAGTAACGAGTGCGTTGCTGACCTTTTAGGGATTAGGATTTTGGAGATTTTGGGATTGGGAGGGATCAGGGGATGGGAAGGATTGGGCCTCCGGTAACCTCACACACACGGAGAAACCCTATGCTGTGGTTTCTTCACGCTAGTTTTCTGTGAGGCCGTGGTATCACTCTGGTCGAGAAGACCCATTTGAGCCGAAGCTTGGCTCTCCCACACATACATTTCTGGAAATTAGACATAAAATCTAAAAAGTATCTGTACCGTAGGTGTAGGCACCTTAGTTTTTGAGGAAATCATTTAGTGGTCATCGATGCCGTTCACTTCAATGAGGACATGGCGGAGCTTGGCTCAAGCAGACCACACCGTCACCGTATGCTCCATCGTCTCCTCTGGGTGGTCCTAGTAATAACCACTAGTGTTACTTCCCGCCGCATACTAAGCCGGTACCTACCTAGCTTCCGTATACTGCGTCAGGCGGAAGATAAGAAGGCCATAGAGTTCCTCCAGTCGCTCCTCAAAGAAACGTTTTACCGCTGATATGTTTTGTCAACTTAACATATCTACTTTTTATTACTTACTTATTACTTCAAACACATGAAGATCACACCTTCAACCAATAATTTGATATACCTACCTACATATTAAAAATGTATATAAAAAATATGCTACTTGAAGTAAAAAAATATGCCGTCAAAACATAGGTAACGTACTACATAATTATGTTATACTTATTCTATGTTTAATACAAAATAATACAAATAACAAATACAAAACCGTTCTTGACCTTACGGAAAAATTTATCAATTTGAGTTGTTGGATATGCGATGTGAAAGTGTGGAGCACAGTTTTAGGTCCAATAATACATTACACCCTTGGGTGTCCATTTTTCAAAAAAAAAAGAAATGTGTCTGTGTGTCCATTAGTTTTTGTCTCGTGTTCACGAGTAGTGGTAAAACATGCTAGAAATGTGGTATTGTAAATGCCTAGTATCTGGTTCATTAAATTTAACACACTTGACATCTGTCATCGCTGACAATTTGACTGTCATTTTTCAATTTATATTTTCAGAATTCAGGGTCAGGTTATAAATTAGATTAGACTAAAACGTGGTATATTTCTGGCCGTACGTTTGTGTATCGGCAATAGACCTACATTCGATTTAATTGCAACATACGAGTGCAAACGACAAACATGGATTGGGATTTGAAATACGGCGAATTATCAACGAATCAAAACTTCGTTAACAATTGCGAGACTCTCAAGGAGAATTTAATGGAAGTACAACAGGTATTGGACCAATTGTTACCGCTTAAAGAGCAATACGATAATTTAATATTGCCAGCACAAATTGAACTCGATTTGTTCTTAGCATTCACTTTAAATTCATTGCACTGGATCCATTTGAGGATACAGGGCGTGGACCCAACAAGTCATCCCATTAAAGATGAACTGCAGCGAATAAAAGCTGCGATGTTAAAATGGCAGGAAGTTAAAGACCGAGAAAAAAGGCCATCGGTTGACATAGAAGCAGCTAAGCGGTTCATCAAGAGCGGGCTCTATGATCCATATAAAGGCACAGCTAAGGGACCCCCAAATAAGAAGACCAAGTTTGAGGATAAAGACGAATAAATTATGTTCTCTCTAAATTCAAAATTATCAAGACTGAATAAGATTTGTATGATACAACAACAATAATTTCCCAACACATAACTTCACCAGATTATGCAAACTTGAATTTTGTAAGCTGCCTCTTTACATATCCACAAAGTAATCCTAAAATTTAACTTATAATCATGTAATCCAAATCTTTGTATCACTAGTGATTGTACCCACTCCATTATTTTAATTAGCAATAATGTATGTAGGTAGCTGTAAAAAAATTAACATATTGTCATATTACTAACATATTTAGTTTGTATGACTAGAAACTATTGTTACTATTTGTATAAGTTTCAGTACTATGTGTTGACATTGACCAAATCTTTGTTATTGTATTTAATTTGTTATTTGTTAGCAAGGTGCCTTCCGATGCGTGCCAACACAAAAGTTCTTGTGTAACTAAGTAATGCATATATTATTTTAAGTCAAAATTACCATAATTAGAATTTACAATGTTAACTTAGTCTTTAGTATCCAGGTATAAAAAAACCTGGTCTATCTGATAAATAAATAAATTAGTTAAACAGAAAATGAAAAAATGAAATAAAAATGTGTGTGTGTGCTATAGAATTAAGCATTTGTATGTTATATCACTTGATATGCATGTATTACTATTGTATTTTAACTTCTACATATTAGATCTAGATCTGAAAATGACATTGTTATTGGTTACAATACATATATACATGTCTACTCAGTTTTTAGTCACCTAGGTACCTTCTTTACTTTACCCTAAGATACCTGGAATAAGCTCATTGATTTTTGTCTCAACTATTCTTTACTATCAGACAACAACCTGTTTTATGTTTAGTCCCATAAGTACCACAATGGGGATTGTTAATTTTTAATTTATTTTCCATCTTTAACTTTATCATCTACAGTAAATTATTTGTAACCTATTACAATATGTATATAATGTGTACATAAGGTTTGATTAAATATAAAATAAAACAAAATTTATCAAAAAAGGATTTTATTCAAACAACAACTAACACCAGATCATCTACTTAGCCAAATATAATTTAGGAATGTTATTAATAATCTACTGTTATTGTATTTTCAATATTATCTAAAGATAATTTAATTATTGTTGCAAGAAATCACATTATAATTTTGTTTAAAAAATGTAGAAAAATAAAACTTATTTCGGAATGATAAAAATTATGCGCGAAGCAAAAACTATTTTTGTTCCTATGCTCATGACCAGTTCTGATTATTTTCTAAAAGCAAAACAAAATAAATTACATACATTTTATGTAAAATAAATAATTTACCCACCAGTCTTATGTGTACTTCTTCTGTCCATAGAATAAAATGGTAAAATTTAATATTACAATAAATAAATTATTTAATTCTAGTCATATTGATTAAGCAATAAATATAGTATATTATTTAAAAAGATCATCCTGAAATAATGGCACCAAATACATAACACATTTACAAATGGAATGAATTAAGAAGTGATGTTGATCAACAACTATAAGGCAATTAAATGGCATGTTTATTTTTCTACTTGAAGTACCAGCCCTGCAGCAGAGATATTGTCCCCAGCACCGGCAGTGAGTTGAGCCTCAGTGCATATAAGTACAGGAGCCACACAAATATCAACATACTCCCCATTTATCTCCTCATCCCAACATGAGACTGGTTTGGTAGGCTCAAAGAACACCCTACTTGTGTTGTCATTATCTGTGGTTGTAGAGAAACTGTCATCCAGTAACAGTTTACATTTATCCAAGGCAATATCTTGGCTGTTACAGACATATCTGTGTGCAGTTAGCGATGCTTTAGCAGCTGCAGCCTCAGTTCTCTTCCAGTTTGAGTTTTTAACTGTCATTATGGCTTGGTAAGCTAAAGTATGCACATGGATGCGAGTAAGCTTTCTCTTACTCTCATACAATTCATTCTGGCGTCTTATCAACAAAAATGTTTTACGCATTTGATCTAACGCTGTAGCAACTCTTGGGTTGGAGTCAGCAACAACACTGACTTCTCCATATTCTAAGACACTGTATAGATTTGTTAATTCTTGTTCATTCATACCAACTGAATCTACAAATGGCAGTATTTTGGTAGTGAGATGTTTCAGAAGCTCCAAGTCAACATAACTGGCCATTTCAAAGTGGGTCAGTGTAGACAGTGGTTGTGATAATATTTGTTTCTTGACTAGGTCCAGTCTTTCAGCTCTTAAGTCTGTGAAGAATACAAAATTCTAATTATTATACCTATTTTACATACACATTTAGATGAACAATATATTTAATTAGATGTACTTCTATCAGTAGAAGTATACATCTATAATAAAGATTCCAGAGACTGTTGTATACAGTATACAATAGTCTGACCTAATTGAATTTAAAATGTACATTAGGAAAAACAGCTTACCTTTACCATCTCCAATTTTAAAGGGATAGTTATCCATCATCTGCAGTCCACTAATGACTAGTAAGTTTGGGCCAAAACCTGGTAAATGTTCATCAAACTTCTCCAGGGAACTGAGTAATGGATTGTTCTCATCATTATGTACAATGTATCTGTTTGCTCTGGGAGCCTTCAGAGTACCAAATGTCTCATCAGTTTTGTACTCTAGAATCATGTGGATATCATCCTTCACTTCCTCATTCTCCTCCCCACCAACTATCTCTATATCTTTAGGAATGTATTTCCTTAATTTTTTGCTCATTTTTGCTGCAAATAGCACCTTCCATCCCTCTATGTAGAACCGTTTAGCCATCAGCGGAGCATTGCCCCCAATAGCCCATCTTGAGTCAGGCAGTTTCAAAGCTTGTTCTATTAATTCATCATACAATTTCCCATTGGACACAAACCGCCTGGAAACATTAATAATAAAATTAATAACATTTTGTTTTCAGTAAAATATAGTATGTTATCAAAGAAGCCAACTTAAGACTTAAAGTTGCTTTCAAAACAAACCTAATGCTAATTGCATTAATGACTAAATTATCTCAAATCGTAATTTCTTATCAGTGTAAACTATTTCATTTATTTTTAAACATACATGTAATGGTCATTAAAATTTCAGATAACTTACTCGGCAGCTGCGCCATGTTTGAAGAAATAAGCGAAACTTTTAAGGAATTCTTCCTTGTTTGAGATCTCATTGAAATGTTCAGGGTTTCCTTTCAGCTCCTTGTGATCCAATAACGAAGTAGCGTTAACAAACAGATCGTGACACGCGCCATAGCCAAGCGCGACTTTCGGCTGAAGTTTTCCCTCGCCAACTTTGTTCTCACTCTCCAAATATAGTAAATGATCTTTCACAGGAGACAGCCGCACGTCTCCAATATCATTTTTGCGGAAATAAACAGCATACAGCACAAAACAGAACGATACAATCGTACCGCATTTAACCGGAACACCAGCCATCGTTCAAACTTCAAATATTACCTATATTGTGTGTATAACTTAGTTATTGGAATGCATAAGTGATTAGAATTTTTGGATAGCCACGTCACCTCATTGTTTTATTACAGGCATTTAAGTATTTAATTATTTATGACCTATTTAAATATTGATAATATTACACTATGGGTGACGTTGAATGACAAACTACTACGATATGACAGCTGACTGTAGAACTGTCACTATGTCATCAAGTAAATAAATGTCGTTTCATTACACGAAATTGTGAGATTTTTTATTTTGCAGTACATACTTATTATTAATAATGTTTATTAATCTTTAATCACATTTATAAAATACGAACTATTTTACTTGGAACTAAAACTGCGGTGTATTTACTGTTTTAACGGTAATTCAATGAATCAAGTACCGGTAGGTACTTCATAATAAAAGATATTACAATATTCATTGTTTCTGTACTTTTTATTTAATTTTGAGTATTATGGGTTGAAAATATAGCCATTATTTCAGCCTTCCATAGTCTGTGCTTTTACTGAGAAATTTTCCTACTTACCGAAAAGTATTCAAAAATGTTTTATTATTTTTCAACCGATCGTCAACCACGTGACTTCAGAATAAAAAGTTACAACTTAAATTTTCGAGACCTATCCTCTACTTACCTAAACTGCTCGATAAACTTAACATACCCAATAAATGTTTTAAATTCAGCCTTTCTGTTACCGACTGTAGGTAGGATACGGTATTTGAGTCGTATTTTCTTCACCAATGTTTTCAAAAGTGCGTAAAGATAGCGTTAATTCGAAAACGATGTTTGAATTCGCGTTTGACCATTGCTTAAGAGAAACAAAACACTTTCCGCCAACAAATCACCGATTGTGACCACGATAAGACCTTTCAACGCGTAACTCCTGAAGAAGTTCCAGGGCCCGTGACATCAATAATGTTTTAACACTTTTAACGTTTGACTTGACTTGATAGCCAAATGCAGCGCTTGGTATGCAAGTAGGTACCTACTTCATTAAAGAGTACGCGATCCAAGGAGTTCGATATCTCGAAAATGTTTTCGAAAGCCAAAAAACATGCCGTATAAGGCACAACCGGTCTCCTCGCACCTAAAATGGAAGCATGCAGCATGTGTGATGTTAAGAGCTTTAGGCGTAAATTGTCTGTGTCACGGTGTATCGTAATTAATTTTAACAAAGTTCAAGTCTTGCAATTTATTTTTATCTGTTGTGTTGCTACTTGACCTTTTGGCCTACCTACTTCTCCAATTGTGCAGTTGTAACTGGGTGAAGTTAAAAATTTCACGTGTTGTTCATTGCTACAAAATAAACACATGGTGTTGAGCAAAATATAAGTTATTTTATATTGTTACACTGTCACATACATATTATACATATACCTACAGTGTATTATACATATATAGTGTACATATTATATTAATATTTAAGTATGTAGGCATCTATTTATATACTTTAGAACCTTAGGTACTTTAAAAAATGGTACCGTGCGCCTACAAAAAAATAATTCAAGAGTTATAACGTGTGGTTAGTGGTTCAACAATAGACTTTTAGTTCAATATTTTGAAAATATGTGGGTTCATCGATGGTTTTAGCCGCACAGCATACAAGTTTGTGATTTTTTAAAATTAAAAGTTAAAAAATTACTGTAGCCTGTTGTTAATAAGTAGGTAGTATTTAGGCATTAGTGGGTTACGAGTATTAGGTAATAGATAGGCGCCTACTTCTAACCGGTTATAGTGACTAAAAAGTTAGTAAGTAGGTAGTAAAAGTGCCTACTTTAAAAACTACAAGTAAGTAAACCAAGTAGGTAGGTGCATTTTAAAAACACAAGATTTTTCTTTCATTACGTTTTATTTTTAAAATGTTTTTCACAACAATAGACACTTTACAGCTACCATAAAGAGAGATAAATATTTTTATAAGGCACAAGTCTCACTGAAAAAGTATAAAAGCGACCGAATATGGTGGAGTCACGTATTGTCGCCAAAATAACGTGGAGATGAAATCTGTGTATGGTGTAACTGTCTGGCGCCGGTGGAGGTAAACTACATTAGTCACAAGTAGGGTCTTGGGACAATTTATTGGAGTTGGTACCTATAGATTATTCTTTCCGCTTACTTTGTGTGAAGCACATATTCGGAAATGGCGAATAAAAGGCCAAGTCATCTTGACAGTAGATAATCTTAGATGAAAAGAAGTTCAACTAAAGAAATAATGATTGGTCCATCTTCAATTCTGAATTGTGTTCTTCATAATTTTCCAAGTACAGTATATATTAGTGTACCTAGGTAGTATTTTATTAGCTATATTTATTTTGTTATACTAGTATAACAAAACAAATTAATAAGGTAGTCTATTTCAATCAAATTTTGTAGTTAAATTAAAGGTTAAATTAAAGGGCAAAAGTAAAGCTTGTAAAGTGTCGTTTGTTTGAGTTTTGATGTCCAAATGTGACACTAGTTACTTAGTCTAAATGTTTTTGCTCTAAAAAAGAATACCATCTTAACGCAAAGCATGATTTAAATTATCAATATTATTTTTAATTAATTGTGTGATGTTCGTAGTTTACGTGTGCGTAGGAGGCTCGGCTGTATCAGGTCGTATGATTCATACCTGTGGCTGTGAGGTCAGGAGTACCAGTTGAAGAGAAATGAATGACTTGCCGTTGTATTTCAAGCGATTACGACTGCCCTACTGTTTATTATTAATATTAACAATATTATTTTCATTTACATTTTATAGGTACTTATTGAATTTTGATGTAAGTTATTAAATTGTAAGTATAATGTTATTAGAATTGTTAAATCGATGGACGTCGTCATTGGTTCTTTTAATAGGTAAGTAGTAGATTTCTATTATAATTATTTTGTAGCTTTAATGGACAAATCCAATTCAATATAACTAACGAGTAGATGCTTCGATTAAAATATTAATAAAAAATTCTAAATATGTAGGTATTTTATTTCTAAGTATTTACCTACTTATTACAATTTTGGATTCGGGCCTTTTTACTGAGCAGCTGAGAGTACGAACGAGGCAACCTGCCTAAAAAAATAAGTTTAAACTTATTCTAGTGGTTTTCGAAAAAAGAAGAGCAACACAGTACAAACCATCTGACTTAGGTACCAATAGCTCCCTACGGACCTATGTTTCAGATAAACAAATATGGGAACACTTTTGAAAATATTGATCAGCAGATAGCTAAAACAACGATAGCTTCAAAAATCTTTAATAAGTATATAAACATTTGGTTACGAAATATTTATCGGCCTCCGATCTGTCTTCTGATAGACAATTTTTTTTTCCGAAAACAAATATTTTTGTAAGTACTATAAATACTTTAAATAAAAAAAAATCGTTTGCAGGACTACTAGGTACGCAGTGTTGACACTTGGTTACCGATAAAGCTTTTGGTCCAAGGTTGCCATTTATACAGATTAAATAAATAGATATCACCACACAATTATGTCATGAGATCTTACTGATTAAAACAACACCAATGGGCAATGGACTGCTAAAGTTTTAAATGACAAAGATCTTAATTATTTGTATGCGAGTTTACGGCGAGTTTAATGCAAATAGTAAAGATTTCTAGGTGTGATACCAAAGCGGAGTAATTTCGATACTCTATATGGTGGCAAGTGTTGACAAGTCAGTCATTTAAAGCTGAATATTAATCAAGTTGGACATTGCTGGCAGTATTTATTGAGTGGATAATTCATAGGTAAGGTGTTATTTGTGTCATTTCACACTATGGCGCTAGTGTCGCTTATAGTTCCAGGTTTAAAAGAGGTTATTGTTCTATAAAGTTTATTGTAGGAAGGTACAGTCATGCATGTGGACTATCAGGTTTTTATTTTAGCCTTATTATGTAATGTTAAAAAAATAGTACTTATATTTTATCTATGATCTCTCTTTTGATCTATTTTATGATTTTAATTTACCAATCTACATTTAGATTTTCTTAATTGGTTCAGCTTTGCAGTCAGCAGGCGAAGCATGAACGTTTATGGATACGTTTTTTCATAACATCTTCGTTATAAAAACATAATGTTTATTAAGATTACCATAATTATCTGATAGATAGCGCAATGACTATTAAGAAAACTAACTGGTAACTCATTGGGGTGGTAGAATTATTAAAAGAACTTCATTTAAGTATTAAATATTGTTATGTAAAAGCAGAGATAGATGAAGTCTAGATTTGCACCCAATGGACATAGGGCTCATAGTCATACCTAATAGGTACATATTGACAACACATTGAAAAAATCGGCAAGAATGCGACGGTTTGATAGAAAATCGATCTTTTATCATCATGCGAGTGAGGTTATTAGAGGCCCCATACCCTTTCTTTCCCCCCAAAATTTCTAACAAACCCCAAAAGGCCGGCAACGCACTTGTAATTCCTCTGGTGTTGCGGGTCTCCATGAGCGCCGCTGATTACTTACCATCAGGTCATCCGTTAGCTCATTTGCCGCCCTTTGCAATATAAGAAACATCTGCCTTTCCCCATAAAGATTGAAACAGTGGGCGGAATCGTATTATTCCTGATTCCATATTTTTATTGTTGACAATGCAAGCTGCATCGCTCTCAGTAAGGGGTACATCTAAAACGAGCGCTTGAAAATAATGCGGGGGATCCGTTTCTTTTTAATTTAGAAATATGTACTAATTTAAAATAAAAATCATGTTTCTAAGTTGATTTGAATGAAATGAACGTGTTTTTACTAAATCATTTCTATAACCAAAGTAATTTTAGTTAATACATATTTTTTTGTAGGTACTAACAATGATTATATGATATGGCATTACATAGAAGTATTTATTAGTCAATGAATCTAAAAAAAAATTTTGATATTGTACCTCTGAAATTGGCTTATTTCAAGCTTATTTAATATTTATACACCAGAAATAGTGAAAAGCTACCTAGTAGATGTGATTGTACCATATTAACTATACTTAGATACTTAAGAAATAAATATATTTTTATAACTTCACGTCTTATCCAGGACATTGATGGCAGAAACTTATCTTTGTGTCCCCAACAGACATGTCAATGGTTCGTTAAAACTATTGCAGTTGCAATAAAGGTATAATTTATAGATGATCCGTAGACTGTGAGCACAGTATAAATATCATACAGTATTGTAACTCGGCCGCTTGAAAGAAATAAATACCTACAGCCGCGCG